CTATACTCTGATTCCGCACTTCTTCTAGAAACAATTGTTTTCTTCTTCTCCATGTCACCAGATTTCATGGGAGCAGTAACCTGTGATGGACCTTCTATTAGTGGGTTCCCTAACCCAACTAACATCGGTGTAGATTTTCACCTCTTTGTTCCTGATTTTCATAAAAATTAATCTATAACAAATAGTCTTCTTAAGAAGCCTCGAAATTCTAAACACAATCTCCAAGTGTTCTTCATTTGGGTTATTCATGTGTTGGCTCACAATATTAACATATTATGCAATATCTGGCCTCATATGTAACAGGTAGATAAGTTTTCCTACCAATCTTTGATATATTCCCTTATCCACAAAGACGTTTTCTTATCCCCTCTTTGACCTCTGGTTGGGACCAATTAGAGTATCAATGGGCATACATCCAATCATCTGTCTTCTTTAGTGTATCTAGTATGTATTTTTTTGTGATATAAAGGTATTTCTTGGACCTGTTATTTCCATACCCAAATAACATCCCATGGTTCCTAGGTCCTTAGTTTCAAATTCCATTACAAACAATTGATCTTCAGAATCTCTCTTTCTTCATCACCAATAAGAATCATATCATCTACAAATACTATATTACAATAATTTTAACTTCTTGAGTACGTTTTATAAATAGAGTATGATCAACTTGACTTTGAGAATACCCATTAAGTCTCATAGTTTTAGCAAACCTTTGAAATCAAGCTTTTGGTGATTGTTTAAGCATATAGAGAGACTTCTTGAGTTTTGCATACTACGTGTTTGTTGGAATCATTCTCAAGTCCCAATGGTATCTCTGTATACCCTTATTCTTCCTAATCATCATTCCAGAAAGTATTTTTTATGTCAAGTTGATGCAGTCTCCATTCGTTATTAACTGCTACTGAAAGAAGAACTCTGATAGTGTTATGTTTGGTAATAGGTACGAAGGTCCCTTGATAGTTGATCTCATAGGCTTAAGTGAAACCTTTTGCAACAAGTCTTACTTTGAATATCTCAATACTCCAATCAGTTTTGTATTTGATGTTGAACACTCATTTGCACACAATCGGTTTCTTATCCTCAGAAAGTTTAGTAAGAATCTATGAACTATATTCAGTGCTTGAATCTCACGTTCAATTGCTTTCCTTCATTATGAATTCTCAAGATCTTGCTAAATGGATTTAAAAATCCGCACACTATCGAGGTTAGAAACAAAAATTTTGTAGAATAAGAATAGTTCCCCATAGACAAAACTCTTGAATTGGATCTAATGCAATTTTCTTTGTCGTCAGCAGCAGAAGAGGAAAGAGATAACTCATGAGTACTAGACTCCTTATTAGCTCGATTTAAACTCTATCATAACAAACAATTTTTAGGATTTAGAAACTACTTGTGTTAAACCCTCCTTGCAGCCAAACAGCCACAAAAGGATGAGCAACTATAAAAACTGAAGCTACTACCTGCCAATCAAGGCTCTTTTTTCGGTGCAAACTGCATCCTCTTCGACGGAAGGGGAAAAACGATCTTCGCCTTTGGATCCACCAGCGGTCCTTTTGGTGGTTGCGTTGGCGGTGGTTTTGGAGAGGAGGATGTGAACAGTGAGTGTGGAGTTGGGATGATCGTCGACGCTACCGCTACGGTTCACCGGGTCACTGCCCAAAAGGATGGAGAAACAATGGTGGAGAAAATGAAAGCGAGCATCCTTCAATGTTCTTAGGGATCGGACCGTTAGAATTGATTGAAAGTACAAGTATTTTAATGATAACAATGGGTAAAACCCAATTTAATTAGAGAAAATATTATATCCGGAGTCCGAACGTAAATATAGTTGAACCAATCAGTTAATATTAAAAAATGCCAAAAAAATATATTTTGAAGGAGACTGAACCCGGCCCAAAAGCAGCCCGACAGATCAAAAACACAATTTTAAAACCAGCGCCACCCTATTTTAGATTTTATTTAGCACATCTCGCCCACATTTTTTTTTATTTTCTGCTTTCGGCTTATTTTCCGTTTTCGGCTAGGGTTTTCAAAACACCCGAAGTTTAAGTTTAGTTGATTCCCCTTATTGTCATTCGCAGAAGAAAATATTGTGTTTTCATCTTTCTCTGACTCTCTCTCTCTCTTCTATAAGTTGTTCATGTAAGATTTTAGTTTTTTTTTAACTTTTGTTAACTCATGTTAACTCATGTGAACTCTTGTATTTGTTTGTTTATGATTTTCAAGCAAAATAAATTTACAGCAATGGAAGCAAGAAAGGCAATTAGAGAGAAAAATGACAGATTATTTATTTTTCAAAGCTTTCTTCTTTACATGTTTAGAGATGTAACCGAGATTTGAGATAAAATAATACAGGTAATCTTCTTATATGGAGACTTACTCTCATCTATTTTGTATTGTAGCTATCTAGAGAGTTTATGTCAACACACTCCCAGTTTAATGTCTTCTTTAAGAAAACTATAAGAGTGCTCAGTTTCGGAGAAACTCATTCATCAATACAACATACTTGAAATAATTATGCTGAAAATATTGCAACTGGTACAGAAGTCCACCAAAAAAAATTGTCGTATCATCAGGGATAACTCTATAAATGAGACAATGGACGTTGTGCAGCCAGTGTAGACTATAGATGATTTATTGTCGGCTAACAGCATTAGTTTTGTTAATTCAGTAGCTAGAATGATGTCCTCTGCCATTGTTGGAGAAGATGCATAGAGAACAACCCAACCAACAGATGATGTAGGCTATGAATCCAAACAATTAAGTAGGGATGCAATGCAAGTGTCAGGACGGATGAAGAAATGTGTTGAGAATGATGTCTAATATAAACTTTGATAGAAAATAGTAGAGAATGATGAAATTTTGAAGAAATCATTAAATTAACATGCTCACATAAAAATTGATCACTGCCTCATAAAGTTAGACAGCATACTAAATATTTTAACAAAAATGATTATTGCAGTGCGTGATGCGATAAAGAAGAGTAGCAACAACAAAGTTACTCTGATGATATCGAATGTAAAAATGCTTCGTGTTTGAATCGAATATATTGCAGCCACTTATTCACGTTTTCACTATTATCCTCCATAAATTTAAGCCTTAGGTTTCATACTATACTTTTTAACTGATGTTTTATGTACCCTATTCATTGCTTTCATTTTGAGAAATTATTGATTGTTGCTTCGTATTTTTGTATTGTGTTGTTTAGAATGTTTGTGATTGAAGCTTTCATTAAAATTTAATCAATTTGCTAATATCTAGTATTATTACACATTATTGTTACATGTATGTTTATTTATTTAGAAGAATTCTTCTTAATTCTATTTGCAACATGATAGGCCATTGTGTAAAAAAAAACAATATCATCAATAAAAAAATACCACTAACAATGATTAGTAGTTACTCAGATGATTAAGAATTCATTTGCATGCATATGTTCAATAGACATACACAAGCCATCAATATGTACGTAATATTTTGGGTGGTCAGCAATTGTGCTCCTACAAGTCTTTCAGGCTATCATCAAAGGTATTTGTGCAATTGCGAGATACTTTGGTTTGTCTTGAACTACTTAGTAATACAAAAATTATAATTTCATTTGGTGAACTCGAAATATTTCTTAAAGGTGTTGTGAATGCCCACATATATATGTAGTGTCAATTTTTATAATATTTACTGGAAACAATTTGTAAATACTTCAAATATATCATGCAAGTATTTGCGTCATGGCAAATAAGTTCATTAATTTGCCTCCAAACCAAAACAAGTTGTTATCTTTACATAAAAGCAAATTTACATACAAATACTTACAATTGTTGATTGTGGGATACAAAATTGGTATCAAAATATGAAAGGATTCATCTCATAAAAGTGATAGTGACAGTCTTTTTGTATCTTCAATTTGTAACATATCTCCAGACTGTGAAGTATCTAGCTCAGAAATGAGGATTTTGTGAGAATTGTGAGTATCTGAAGGTTGGTATTATTTGGTTGACTAGAAGTACGCTAACACTGATAAAATTATAGCACCCTATCGAATATATCACTATCATTTGAGTAACAAGAGCTGCATCTTGTCAATATTCAATAGCTCAATAGTTGTACAACCACCGTCACCCGAATATTCGTGCATTTGGCATTCGAAAGAAAATGTTTCAAGAGCTAGCTCATATGCGGCAATTTTTTTATTAGCATACACGCTTATATTGTCATTGTTTGTGCATTACTATACAATTTTATTATACTTTATTATGAAAACAAAATTTACTTTAACATGCCTCAGGCTGAAATGTAACATGATAGCAAACTAAGTGAGGTCACGGCTAACGATAAAAACCTCAATATGCAATAATGCATGCAATTGCTATAAATATGTGGGATGCATGTGTAGGCTCTCAATTGCTATATATATGTGGGATGCATGTGTAGGCCCTCAAATTTATTAACTTTAAAGTCATGCTATTTGTATTTTTTAGATAACTAACCCATCTTTTTTTATCACAAGAAATGAAACAAAGACGTTGCTAGATATGGTCATTTGCTAATGATTTACATGAAAACAGAAGAATGATGTGGTTTTTTATTTTAATCTTAGATATTTGAAATGTTCTTTGTTGTATTGATATCTATATGATAGAGACGTTATTTTATGTTAAATTGTCATGAACAAGATGGATCTAATCAAATTATTGAGCTTATGAGCAAAATCACATGAACAAGATGGCTTTAATCGAATTATTGAGCTTATGAGCAAAATAAACAATATCACTCACTGTTTTATTTCTGTATTTCACTTAAAATCATTTATTAAATATTTAAACCTAATTAAAAACTAACAAACATGAATTCCACGTAAGTTGTCGAACAGCAACATAATTTAACTCGATTTAAACTCTATCATACCAAACAGTTCTTAGGATTTAAATCCTACGTATGCTAAATCCTCCTTGCAACCAAACATCCACAAAAGAATGAGCACCTATAGAAACAGAAGCTACTACCCGTCAGCCAAGGCTATTCTTTTGTTGAAAATTGCATCCTCTTCGGAGGAACGGGGGCAAGGAGAGGAGAAGATGTGGAAGGAGAGAACAGCGAGTGTGGAGTGGGGACGATCGTCGACGCTGCCGCTAGGGTTCGCCGGCTCAATGCCCAAAAGGACGGATGAACGAAGGCGGAGAAAATGAAAGTGTGCATTTTTCAGAGTTTCAAGTCTTTCTGGCTATCATCAAAGGTATTTGTGCAATTACGAGATACTTTGGTTTGTCTTGAACTACTTAGTGATACAAAAAATATAATTTCAGTTGGTCAGCTCGAAATATTTCTTAAAGGTGTTGTAAATGCCCACATATATAAGTAGTTGTGTCAATTTTTCTAATATTTACTGGAAACAATTTGTAAATACTTCAAATATATCATGCAAGTAATTGCGTCATTGGCAAAAAAGTTCATTAATTTGCCTCCGACCAAAATAAGTTGTTATCTTTACATAAAAGCAAATTCACAATTATACTCATTACTTAGCATTGTAATTAAAACAATAAATGACATACAAATGCCTACAATTGTTGATTGTGAGATACAAAATTGGTATCAAAATATGAAAGGATTCATCTCATAAAAGTGATAGTGACAGTCTTTTTGTATCTTCAATTTGTAACATATCTCCAGACTGTGAAGTATCTAGCTCAGAAATGAGGATTTTGTGAGAATTGTGAGTATCTGAAGGTTGGTATTATTTGGTTGACTAGAAGTACGCTAACACTGATAAAATTATAGCACCCTATCGAATATATCACTATCATTTGAGTAACAAGAGCTGCATCTTGTCAATATTCAATAGCTCAATAGTTGTACAACCACCGTCATGCACAACTATTTAATACTGCGAAAAAAATACTTGGCATTTGAAAGAAAATGTTTCAAGAGCTAACTCATATGAGGTAATTTTTTTTATTAGCGTACATGCTTATATTGTCATTGTTTGTGCATTATTATACTATTTTATTAGACTTTATTATGATAATGAAATTTACTTGAACATGTCTCAGACTGAAATGTAACATGATAGCAAGCTAGGTGAGGTCGCGGCTAACGATGAAAACCTTAATGCAATTGCTACAAATATGAGAGATACATGCGCAGGCCCTCAAATTTATTAATTTTAAAGTTATGCTATTTGTATTTTTTAGATAACTAACGCATCTTTTTTTATCACAAGATATGAAACAAAGACGTCGCTAGATATGATCATTTGCTAATGATTTACATGAAAACAGAAGAATAATGTGTGTGTGTGTGTTTTTTTTTTAAATCTTAAAGACTAGGAGTACACTAACGCTAATAAAATTATAGCACCTTTTCGAATATGTCGCTATCATTTGAGTAACAAGAGTTGCATCTTGTCAGTATTCAATAGCTCAATAGTTGTACAACCACCGTCATGCACAACTATTTAATACTGCGAAAAAAATACTTGGCATTTGAAAGAAAATGTTTCAAGAGCTAACTCATATGAGGTAATTTTTTTTATTAGCGTACATGCTTATATTGTCATTGTTTGTGCATTATTATACTATTTTATTAGACTTTATTATGATAATGAAATTTACTTGAACATGTCTCAGACTGAAATGTAACATGATAGCAAGCTAGGTGAGGTCGCGGCTAACGATGAAAACCTTAATGCAATTGCTACAAATATGAGAGATACATGCGCAGGCCCTCAAATTTATTAATTTTAAAGTTATGCTATTTGTATTTTTTAGATAACTAACGCATCTTTTTTTATCACAAGATATGAAACAAAGACGTCGCTAGATATGATCATTTGCTAATGATTTACATGAAAACAGAAGAATAATGTGTGTGTGTGTGTTTTTTTTTTAAATCTTAGATATTTGAAATGTTCTTTGTTGTATTGACATCTATATAATACAAACATTATTTTAAGCTAAATTGACATGAACAAGATGGCTCTAATCTTATGAGCAAAATAAACAATATCACTCACTGTTT